AGTATCCATGGAACCAATTCCGGGTCCTGAAGCCAATCCCCTGTGGATACCAACGGATGACAGTATTCACATAGCATTTTGTCAGAACTTCTATTACTGCAGTTATGGAGTTCTGTCTTCTAGGTATTTTAGTACCTGACTCATGTCCCTGTGAGATGGAAAACATCTCACATCATCACATCATCACGCTCAGCATCTCACATCATCACATTCCATACACGGAGGTCCTCAAGTCCAGCATCCGTACCCTTCACAACCCTAGCCCAGACTGTGCCCAGGGGCTGCACGACAGTGCCCATGAAGGTGATCCAATCCATACAAAGCACGTTAAAGCAGGCCTTTTAATTGTAAACATGGCAACAGGGCAAAGGTACCCAGGGTAAGAACCAATCTTACACCACTTCTCTAGCCCCAGGAAGGATGAAATAAATAAATGCTAATGGGTAAGTATTGATTATCAGTCAACTAATTCTGACATCAGTCATTACATCAGCCCATTTCACAGAAAGTACTTGAGACCTGACAGTAAATGGCCCTGTGAGTAAGCCATGCTTTTGTCAACTCAAAAATTCCAAGGCGCCAGTGGTGCAAACAGCTGGACTAGAGAAGAGTTAACTCCCTCTTTTGTTCTAGGAATAAGCCTTCAGCGAGAAAAACTAATCAAAAGGTAAGAAGACACAGGGGGTCAGTTCTTCAGAAGATTGTTGTACCACCTTGAAGCAGGAAGCAAAGGGGAGGACCAAGGTGGAGGACAGAGAATGTGATTCAGTCTCCCATCTTCTCCAAAGCGTTAAGACAGGGTGGAGGAGAAAAACACCCTCAAGATAAATAAAACCCAACAGCACAGGGAAAGAAAGAGGAGGTGCTGGCAAGGCATCAAAATTATGAGGTGTTTCTAAAAGGTGGAACTTGACATAAAATTCAAGGAGAAAGGCCCAGCCCTAAGCACACACAGAGAAAATGACGGGCAACAGGCTGGGGTTAATCCCAGGGTGCCCCATGGGGGGAGTGGGGGGGGTTAGAGCTCACAGGGGGAGCAGGAAGGGCCTGGGCGCGAATTTGTTGCAGAACCAAAACAGGCACGGCAGGGAGGACCAGTTCCTTCGCTCCTTTCTCTGCTTGAACCCAGGCAATGAAGGCAGCTGGGCAGATTGCAGGGCCACTCACACTCAGGTAGAAAGTGGAGACACCTGTGCCCAGAAGAACATTACCTATATGTTCTCACCTATAAGTCTCTATCCAGAGACTTACCAAAATCTCTGTCTGCTTCATGTTCAATAAGAGGGCCACACAGCAGGCAAAACACACAAGGAATCCCAGGTAAAGAGAGTGTTCAGTGACCGGTAGTCTCCCTTTGGGCAGGAGCCCATTGGAGGCACCTGTAGGCAGCCCCGCCCACTTCCTACCAGCCCCCACCACCCCTTCTCACTCAATGCCATATGCAAAGCTTCACTGTAGAACATTATGATTAGGGAAGCCAGCGTGGTTTTTCAAGTGCTAAGGAAAGTTTAAGTAGAAAGTGAAGGCATTGAGAATTTTACTTGGAGCTTTGGGGAAGCTAACCTCAAGGCAGAAGATACCTCCTCTTTCTTCTCATCTCCCAAGAACAACCAACACCATCCAAAAGCGTCAAGATGGGCCCATAATTAAGTAACTACATCTTCCTCTCACAATCAAGGGAAAGTAAGTTCCCACAAAGCTCATCTGGAGGAAGAGGCCTCACAGCTAGGAAATGGCTGCCACCTGACTGAGGGGACACGGGGTCAAGGAGAGCTGATCCCAAACTGGCAGCACCTTCAGCTAAACAGAGATCTGCTCCCCAAAAGGCAGTGCCGGCCTGTCCTAGGTGAACAGGCAGGGGACCAACACATTCCTGCATGTTGTGCCCACGCATCGGGCTGGAATCTTCGGGTGGCACTGCTATTTGGTGGTGGGGAAGGCAATGGTGTCCAAAAAAAAAAATCCCTTCTAAGAATAACGAGTCACTTGTGGGCACCCTGGCAGCTACTCGAACACTGAGACTTGACCTCTCCCTCCACTTTTCCAGGGCTGAAGGTCAAGCTATTTATAGTACGAGTCCTTGTGCCCAAGAGATATCATTTTCCTTAAAGCATATGATGATTGGTAAGATAAAATATCAAAAGATGAGGCTGTATCAAAATGCCTTTTGTAAAACTCTGCAAATTTGACTTTTCCATAACGTGACCAGCCACATAAACAGTGGCAAGTTTTCAGCTGCCTGGGAGGTCCAGGANATCATTCATTTAATCACTATTTAGCAAACACCTACTTTGCTCTAAGCACAGGTACCAAGGAGGAAAGTACAGGACTAAGGTAAGATTGGATGCAGCCATGCTCTAAGAGCTTTCAGAATCTCCACTAAACCTTTATTCTGGTGCTTTCAGTGTTATTATAAATTGTTGCTATCCACTGCCAAATCCACCAGGATTTTTTCTCTCTCTTAAATACAATACATTACTCATATAACTAAGAGCAAAACAAACAAACAAAACAAGACACAATGTCTCTTCGAGTCTGCTGTTCAAAGGACTTGAGAAGGTCAGTGCTATGGAATACACACCATGAGTCCTCCATGCTTCCATTTCCTCAATAATACCAGCCCTGCCCAAACTGTAGACGTTTTACAGGAATCCAACGAGGCAATTCATACAAAAGTTCTCTGAAAATACTGCTCATGAATGGTATTCCAGTTACACTGTGAATGTTAAATAATTAATCTGCGCATGAGAAGGGCCCAGGAGCCTCCTGTGGCAAAAATGGCCATGAGGGGTCCTGCAGAATCATCAGGAAGAGTAAGCAACACATAGGAATTTCCAGAATAATAATTCTGTTGTGAGTTTTACTGTGACGCAGTCTGAAGGAACCAAATACGGAACCTACCATGGAGGTGACCCTGGATATGGGTTTCCATACAATACACTTGTCCTTGGCAGTCCAGATACTGTGAGTACACAGAAGTCACTTGCAAAGAGCTTCCCGGATGCTTCGAGACACACCAGAGGTTCTAGCTTCAACTTGAACCTTAGTACAAGTCGAACAGGCTGCATATCTGCCTTGGCGTGGATTATGCTATTTTTATTCCTATTGAAACTGATTAGCTGCAGTGTTCACAAGGAGACCGTAAGGTTTGTATTAGGTATAAAAACACAGGTCAATTTAAACAAAATTCCTTTCTTATTAATACCTACTAGGGACAATGTCCCTAACTAGGGACAATAAACAATGGCTTGTTTATTATAAATGCTTTCACAAATTCAAGTCAGTTACAGATCAGTCTGTAGAGAAAACAATTTCAGGAAACTTTACAGATGCATAATAAGCTGGTTTTAAGCCAAGTTATCTCCAAGCAGAAGCAGGATTGCTGTCCTTTTCTTTTACGGTGACACAATGATACACAGCTATGTAAACGATGTCACTTTGGAAATGACATCACTAATTTAGACCAGCCCCAAGTTAACCTGGGTTTTAAAGCCAGGGGTTTCAAAACGAAGGAGAACTGGTATGTCCTACCAATCTCACAGGGCTGCCATGAATTTCTAAAGAGTACAATTTTTCTACAAAGGCACCTCTTGAATGAACATCAGAAACGTCATTAGTATGAATTTTTTAAATTATCATTTTTTTTTCTCAAGTCTGAAAAAACAGGTTTCATGCCCTTGTCATCATAGGCACCTCCTAGTGTACTGCTAACCCTCCCAGATAGCAGCTCTGCAGCCCTCTGGCATGTCTGGCCTGCCACTGCCGGGGCGTTCTGACTCTCCTGAATAACCAGCTAAGTGGGCTTTCACATGGAAATCATCAGCCTTGGTATACATGTCTTGCCATGTCACGTTAATACTGAGCGGCCAAGATGTTCACAGTACCTTTGGTTTAAATGCAGACAAACTCCTTCCTAACAAGAGTTTTTGAAGACACACCTGGTACCTTTGGCATAAAGGGAAAATGGGAACATTTTCAAATTCTCCTGCTCCGTTAAGAGAAAGTCGGTTCAAATGGAAATTCGCACGTGTCCCTCACTGCTCTAAAATTTCTAATTAGAACACTTAAAAACCCAGGCCTTTTACGTGGCTAAACCCTACAGCCACGTGTCCTTGAGCATCTTCCATGGATGGCAGGCCACCAGCCCTGGTAGCCAGTACACGATCTCATTTGAGGCCAACGGCTAAGAAGGACTGGCTGTCACAGTGCCATCGCCACACGAAAGGAGAGCTACTTACGGAAGTACTTCAGGGTCTCTTCAATTTGCTCGGTTGTGAGGTCAATGTTGGCATCTGGAGAAAGGAGGGGTGTGTGGAGCCAGTCGTCGTGGTCATAACCGTAGATGGTATCAGCTCTTAACTTATAATGGGGCAGCTGCTCCTCCAGCAGGCTAATGATCTCGACTTCCGGAAGATCGGTGCTATTGCACACGTCTAGAGAGAAGATGGAGAAATGAGAGCCCAGGTCTGGTTATGTCCTTGCTGCTGCAAGTTATCTAGCCTCGCTGCTTACAGCAAGTGTCTTTGGTTATTTACCCACAGCATGGAGAGACCAGATGAGACCATATCAGGGGTCTTTTCCTCATCTAATTCTACTCTCNGTCACAGTGCCATCGCCACACGAAAGGAGAGCTACTTACGGAAGTACTTCAGGGTCTCTTCAATTTGCTCGGTTGTGAGGTCAATGTTGGCATCTGGAGAAAGGAGGGGTGTGTGGAGCCAGTCGTCGTGGTCATAACCGTAGATGGTATCAGCTCTTAACTTATAATGGGGCAGCTGCTCCTCCAGCAGGCTAATGATCTCGACTTCCGGAAGATCGGTGCTATTGCACACGTCTAGAGAGAAGATGGAGAAATGAGAGCCCAGGTCTGGTTATGTCCTTGCTGCTGCAAGTTATCTAGCCTCGCTGCTTACAGCAAGTGTCTTTGGTTATTTACCCACAGCATGGAGAGACCAGATGAGACCATATCAGGGGTCTTTTCCTCATCTAATTCTACTCTCAGAATTTAGAATTATGCATGCTTACTGCCAAGACCTACCTGACACTGTTCCTACCATTTAGCTGCCCACTTTCTGCAAAGTAACGCCAAAATTCATGTGCCTTCACCATCTGGGCAAAGTCTTTCTTTCCAAACTGTTCTCTGGCCAGTCTCTTGATCACTTGAGCCAAACCAGTTATAATTTCACCAATATGCCTAATTTTTTTCTGCCACCCTTTTACCACTCAAGTTATTCCCTCTGCATAGGATTTTGCTTTCATTTAATTCATTCATTCATCTGTTTGTCCACCTCCATTTCCTTCCTTCCTTCCTTCCTTCCTTCCTTCCTTCCTTCCTTCCTTCCTTCCTTCCTTCCTTCTTTCCATCCTTCCTCCCACCCATTCATCCATCATCCATCCATCCATCCATCCATCCATCCATCCATCCATCCAAATACATCCTGAGTACCAGAGATGCAGGAGACACAATAGTGAACACAAGAGCCATGGTCTTGTCCTTGCAAAGCTTGTACTCTCATGGGGCTTCCAACCATTAAACCAATAGGTGCCCCTCCATCAAGGCATAGCTTGAATACCACCTCTCCCGACATACTGGTGTTTTGAGCACTCCAAGCAGAACTAATTTGCCTTCCCACTTCTACACAGTCAGCCCCCCATATCCACGGGTTCTGCATCCGCGGATTCACCAGCCATGGATGGAAAATATTAAGAAAAAAA